GGGTGCATGTCGGATCCTCCAAAAATAGTGTATTTTTGGAGGATCCGACACGGGTGCGGCATCATTTCTGAGACTGCGCGCAACATTGATCAGAACTCCTTTGTGGATTTTACCCTTATTCTTTCTTTTTTCTTGGAAAATTTGCCGTCTTTTTGTGTCGCAGATAAATGTTTTCTTGAGAATAACGGGCAAGAGGGACGACGGATATCATGATTTGGCATCTCTCTTTCATGTAAGTTTTCTTCACTTCCTGTTTTCTGCTTCTGATTTTTGTCTCGAGAGAACTCAGAATATGGTAAAGCTTCAAAGAATTCAATTGGGATTACACCATATTACTATATTTCAAGTTCCTGTTACTATGGTATTTATTAATGAACTATTAGGTATATATATAGCTTATGAAATCCATTTTGTTCCTTCAGGTAATCAGTCTAGGAGATAAAATAAAATTCTCGCTGTCACCATCGAAATCAAAGGATCGTTTATCTACTAATGTTGCTGGAGTTCCCCTCGACGAGAGAAATTTGGTAACGCAAGAAGCTAATATGGTTATCCTTATACTCGTCAAGTACAATTATATTATTGGTAGATTCATGATTTTGCCACTACCTTTGCAGATTATAAAGGCCCTCAATCTGTATAGGAAAAAAACTGGAACAGACAATTACTTTTGGGTACAGTCTTTCAGCTGCCAGCAAATTAATCCGTTTGCAATAGCTTTTGGATAAAGTTCGACTGAGTTAACTTTATGACATATTTGGATGACCAGATTCATCTTGATAAGAAGGTGCCTACTGGGGCTGGTCTTGGTGGTGGGAGCAGTAATGCGGCAACAGCTCTGTGGGCAGCAAATCAGTTCAGTGGTTGTCTTGCCACTGAAAAGGAGCTCCAAGAGTGGTCTGGTGAGATCGGTTCTGATATTTCTTTCTTTTTCTCCCATGGAGCAGCTTACTGCACGGGTAGGGGTGAGGTATGCTTTTGCCGTTGTACTTACTTCCAAGTGTCTTATTCCTTCCAAATCTGGGTGAGATTGTGGTTTTTCTTGCATATCTTCGGATCTCTATTGCCGTTAATCAGTCTTTGATAAGTTGGGTGGTGTTGAGCCCCACACCGGTTCTAAAGGGGTGGGATGGTCTCTTTATATGGTGTTGGCCAATCCTCACCTCATGAGCTAGCTTTTGGGGTTGAGTTATGCTCAAGGTTCATTTCTTTAACAGGCGGAAAGCTGTATTGCCAAGAAGAATGTTGAAAAACACGTGTGGGTGGAAAGCTGTTGTTCAACTATGGCGAGACTCTAAGCCTTGTTGGGCCAGAGTTACCCGTAAATGTGTTGGTGGGAAGTAGAAGGTACCTTATGGAATAGTCGAGCTGCATGCAAGTTAACTCAGACACCACCATTATAAAAAAAAGTAAAAATAAAAACTATGGCGAGGCTAGAGAGGGGTAAATGAGGTCATTTGACTCTTACTAGCCTGAAGGTTAGAAACATTTAAACTAGGACTAGTTGTTGTGCTTTAAATCCTTTAACAAAACTTCAGATTCATTAATGCTGGCAATTTTTTTTTATGAGAAGTCAGATTGGGTTACATCCACAAAACTGTATTAGTATCAGATTAGCACCTTGTTCCACTCATTCCTTTCACTTGAGAAGTATAATTTCTGGTGATTTCCAGATAGAATTGTAATTTAGGGAGTTGATGTAATGTATGGAAACCTTAGGCAGATCCCTTACTTTGCAGTTAACAAGAGATTTGGAACTTTTTTGCAACTCCATCCTTTAACCTGTGAATTATAATTTCGAACTAGTAAGCATGTCTCTTATGCGATAGTGAGAGGTACAAGTGTAATTTATTCAGACAAGCAGGGTCTAATCACATTTTCTTGGGAAAAAAAGTAAAAAGAAAATATTGATGTAAAAATGAGCTAATATCACATAATTACTTTTAACGAGTAATGCGATAGTCACTTAATAGATTGGAGATTTGACCGTTAATGGCGCGAGATTCCACATATAACCAATAAACTCAAATTTGATGGGAAATTGAAACCTTGCAAAAATGATAGTGAGGAAAAACTTCTTGAAATTTTTTGGAACTGCCTTTCTGTCTTTAGCTATCTAGTCATGACCTCCCAAAGTTACATGTTTGTTTATATATATAAAAAAAAAAAAAGAGGTGCATGTGAGCTGCAGTAGTGATCTGCATGAGAAATGGCTTGGGAATTGCTAGAAAGTTATTAGTTGAACTTGTCTCTCATAAATTCAAATTATTGAAATGTGCATTTGTTTGTTCAGATTGTTCAAGATATCCCATCGCCCATACCATTTGACATTCCAATGGTTCTCATAAAGCCTCAGCAAGAATGCTCTACTGCTGAAGTTTACAAGGTGATACAAAATGAAGTTAGCGAACAAGTTTAGGATGAAACTATATGATTTTGGTTGTCAAAATCTAAGAGAAGATTTGGTTTTGCAGCGTTTTCAATTGGATCAGACTAGTAAAGTTGATCCCTTGAGCTTGCTGGAGAAGATCAAAACTAGTGGAATATCTCAAGATGTGTGTGTCAATGATCTAGGTACGAGATGAAGATTAAACACATTAACATTTGTTCAAACTCACCTTACCAAAATATATATACATATATATGTGTGTGTATTTATGTATTTATTCTAGCTTCATGTGTGTTGAAGTAACTTTGCTTGTGACCAAGCTCGGAAAAATAGGAAAACTTCTTAAAGAAGACCTTTCTTGTAGTTGCTCATTCCAGTTCCGGCATGTTGTATGGGCGTAGGTTCAGCTGACCGAGGACATGACCCTTAATAGGAAGGTGTGGAGGTCGAGGATTAGGGTAGTAGGGTAGGTGGTCTAGATTGTTCATACCGGTAGTATTAGTACACACTCTCGCATTCTGTTGGTAGTAGGTTTCTATGACTACCCGTCGTTTTCTTTCATTTTGGTCATCTTACTATCTTGTTATTTTTTTATGCTACTTTTGTATGGCTTTGTGGTGCTTTCCCTTCATGTCTATATTTTCATTAATGTGGTGCTTATGCTTTCCTGAGCCGAGGGTCTATTGGAAACAACCTCTCTATCCTCACAAGGTAGGGGTAAGGTCTGCGTACACACTAACCGCCCCAGACCCTACGGCATGGGATGTTGTTGTTGTTGTTATTGTTCATAGACTTGGTGCTGATCACTAACTTAGAGCCAAAATTCTGAAAGCATACTTTCTTCATTCCTTGGTTTCACAGTGGAAAGGACTAATCTTCCTTTCTCTACTTGAGAATATCTCCTCATGTAGTGTGTGAAGATGAGCACTTCACTCAATTGATTGCAATCATGCAATATGAATCTGAAAACTTTTCTCCTTATAATGATAGATCAGTTTTGAACACAGTTGTGAAACATATTTCAGGTCCTTGTTGAAGGGCCTTCTTGTCGATTACCGGCCACAGTTGTATGTTGTGCAGGCAAAGTAAACAGATGATAGTCTTTAGTATTCCCTTTTCCTCTTTTGCTGCAGCTAGCATTTGTTTTTGCTGGCAATATAAGCCAGATTCAAAAACTAGACTGCTAAATTGAACACATGAAGTAAATTACGAAGCCAACCTCTTCTTTTTAGCAGTTCTTTTTTCATGCTTACGTTTTTGAAAGAATATCAATTACTTTTCATCCTAGGTCATTGAGTCTGTATATGCGATTTGGGAATCATTATTGGTAGAATGTAACTTTTGTATATCCTTCCATTCGGGAAGCAACAGAGTGGATCTTGCACTTTTTAACTTTGTAGATTTTTTCGGTCAGAATTACACTCCTTTGACATTATCGATATTTCTTGCAGAACCTCCTGCCTTTGAAGTTCTTCCATCTCTTAAAAGGTTAAAACAGCGAGTGATTGCTGCCGGCCGAGGACAGTATGATGCCGTCTTCATGTCTGGAAGGTATGCTTTTGTCTTAGTCTGGTTCATATTCTTACTATCTCTTTCTAGATTGTCGTAATTTTAACACTTTGCTCGCGCTTAAGGGTTTTCAAGCAGATGGGTGTGACAATGTGAATTAGGCATGTTGAGACAATAGGAGAAATCGAAATTAAGAGTGTTGTGCCAATGTTGGAGTTAGATCTCACATGGAAGAAGTTGTTTCTATTAGTCGTTATGGTAATTTATTCCTAGCTCTAAATTTTTAATAGAAACACTAAGTCATGCCTGCAGATTTTATCATCATAGCAAGTGAGGGGCTTTTCAACTACTGAACTCAAGAGTTAGGCTGAATGGTTAATACATACGACAAAAATTGCAACTAAATTGAAATGATATATAATCATTCTTGAAGGTTTGATCGAACCACTCTAATTAAATTATCTAGCAACAACAACGAAAAAAAACCCAGTGGAGTCCCACAAGTGGGGGTATGGGGAGGATAGTGTGTACACAGACCTTTTCCTACCCTTTGGGAGGTAGAGAGGTTGTTTCCAATAGACCCTCGGCTCAAGAAGATGAAAAGAAACCATAGAAACAAGCAATAACAACAACAAAGACCAGAAAGATAATATCAACAATCTAAGAGCCAGAAAAATAGATGGGAGAAAGCAATAGCAACAAGCAGTAACAACGGCAAGGTACTACGAAAACAACATGTAATACTAGCAATCTAAGACAAGACACCATTGACTAGCCCTAAGGGAGCAAAATTTGCAAAAATGTTTTCAAATAATGTATTATATGAAGTGATCTTTTTACTTGATCATAAATGCCTAATGACTAGTTTTAGTTGTGTAAGTTGTACACATCCCTCTTAGTGGACGAGCATTTCTTTGGAAATATAGTATTAAGCCTTTTGCAACCAACCACTTGGGAGGAAGGTATGAAATGCCTAAGGGCAAATTGGACAATGGCGTTATATGTCGTAGCTTTCTCGCATGGTCCTGTAAGCCGTAGCTCATGGCTGACAATAAATTTATCTTCTTTGCTGTCTCTGACACAATAAAACTTAAATGGCGTCTTTTGTCTGTACTTTATCTTTAGTTTGAGAATGTTACTAATTCCAAAACTGAAATGCAGTGGAAGCACAATAGTAGGAGTTGGCTCTCCAGATCCTCCACAATTTGTCTACGACGATGAAGAATACAAGGATGTCTTCTTGTCAGGTAAATAACAAACATCGCGACTACATGATAACGCAATCTGCATCTAGTTAGTCCTCATTATTCTAACTCTCTACAAAGATCTTATCGTTCTTTGCTATGATCACAATATTTGATTGTGAAGTTTACTCTAGACATTTGGAAATAATGTGTGTTATCCAGTGACGAAGCCAGGAATTTCGCAAAAGATGTTCAAAATTTAATCTACACATAAAAAATAATTTTTGACCTATATACACAATATAAATTTTTATATACACAGTATAATTTTTTGATGAAGGACGTTTTATTGACCAACCATCAATGTATGCGGCTACGCTACTGGTGTTATCAGAAATTTATAGCCCGCGATAGAAATCAATTGTTTTCTGCATAATTGTGCATCCGCTCTCTTTTGAGATACGCTGTTATGAATTGCAGAAGCTAGTTTCATCACTCGGGCACCCGATCAATGGTACGTGGAACCTGTTTCAGCTAGCAATTGTGGTGATCAAGCCGAGTTCTCCAGATCATTTGAAGATTCTTAGGCCTCAGAGCCTATAAATTGAAGCAATTAGGATAAGTGTGTAGTTGTATATGTAATGTGCAATAAGGACTAATTTCTGTAATCTCATCCTTTCACTTCGGATGATGCACTATTCAAAAATGGATAGAGAAAAATCAGTCACAGTCTATTTCATGTTGCTAAAAAAGGAAGATACACATTCAGTCTATGCTCTTTTATTTTAGTCATCAAGGGCAAATTTAGAATATTCTATAATATAACTAAACTACATCATTAGAAAATATGGCACTAGTGCTTCTTGTCTCAATTTATGACACTTTTTGCTTTTCGAGATGTAAATTTTTAATTTTGACCGTTCATTTGGACATAATTTTTTTAACTTTTTGAAATAAGATTTACATATTTAGAAATTGCATAAAAAGTATTATAAGTCATAGTAATTAATAATTTAAAATATTTAAAAAATATATGAAAAAATTATGATAAAAGAATAATTCGTTTGACTCGCGAAATTCGAATACCGTCACATAAATATTTCTAAGCTACTAACTAACCAAAGTAATTCAAGTGTTGCAGGATTTTTATGACAAACTTAATTGCAATTGAACTTCCCTTTATATGCCTATCAAAATTAAGAAGGAAAGTGCAAATGATGAGTATTGGTTACCGCATGGTAAAAACTTCCACATCAGCTTACCATGACTAAGTAATTTAAGGAGGATGGGGATATGTATTAATTAATAACCATGATCAAGTAATAGAAATTACTATATAAATACAAGTCACGCAACTATTGATTTAGTATAAACATCTTGTTTGGATGGTTGTTATCTATTGTATTGTGTCATATTGTTACTTTAAATTCAATGTTTGTTTTGACTGTTATTTAAATTTTATTGTATCATATCATAAAATCCATTGTTATGTATTGCCACATTATGTAACGACTGATTTGGTGTGGTCGCATCGTTACCTTATTTTTTTCTCTCATCTTTCCCTTCCTTATTATTTCTTTTACCCTATCTTTTTATGTAATAATTCTACCCGTACCTTACTTTTTCTTTGTAATATTGCAAGTTTAATTTTTATATTGCTGATGCATGATGTCATGAAAAAACGATAAATAATACAATATATCCAAACATTATATACATTAAAACGATACAGTACAATATAATATATTATGAAATAACACGTAACAATCATCCAACAAGTTGTAAGTTTCAATAATTTCATACAGGTGAAAGTGCTTTCATAGAAGCAAAAATGGAAGTGAAGAATGTCAAAATAAAACCAACTAGGAAGGGCTAAAAACATGAACCCCAACTGGAAATTCTCCTTTTCCAAATAAAATAACTCAATGTAGCTAGTTGCAAATTTAACTAACTTTTTCTAACTGCAATTACTTGAGTACACGTTTCTATATATATTTTATTATCAAATCTAGTACTGATCAAACTTTAAAGACCAACCAAATAGATGCAAATTGCAATACATCACCCATATATATTACACCACCTTTCCACCTTTTCGTTTTTTTCCCCATGATCTGTCTCTTTCTTCTTTAACCAAATAACTTCCTCTTCTATCAACATACCATGATAACTTTAAAAATAAAATATTTTCAGGTGAACTTGCAAATTTCAGTTTCCATCCACAAACTCAGGCAGGGGCAGATGTAGTTTATTACCGACGGGTTTAACTGAAGTCATAATTTTCTAGGCGGAGTAAAAAATTATATATATATATAAAAATTCATTAAAATTGTAAAAATCGTAAATATGAACACATAACTTTAAAAATATAATAGGTTCAACCACCTTTCCACCTTTAAAAATATAATAGGTTCAACCTAAGTTGCTCGGATTCGGGTGCGAGTGTCCGATACGGATGCTGATCTAGAGCTCAGATTCTTCATGATCTAAATTTAAAGATTCGGGAATATGAATCTAGGTACGGATACGGGTGCGGGGATTCGGCTAAAAATAATTCAATTATTTAAAAATAGAGTTATAAAAATATGGCTAAATTATGAGACATTATGTGAAAAACTTATAAGGTATTCCGAGAAGGAAAAAATATTGAACAAGAGTAGAATTTTAGAAGGAGATAAAAGAAAAAGGACTGACATAGAAATTTATATATACAGGGTATTCTATTTTCTTCCATATCACCCTAACTTTTGATTTGTTTTAAAAAATCATTGTATCTGTCCCAAATTTCTCCGTTGATTTTGGTCAAAGCACCCAAAATCGGTTGACCAGATCCGACACGGATCCCACACCCATACCCACACCCACGTCGTGTCGACACGGGTGCGGCACTGAAAGTGAAGAGTCCTAGCAACTTAGGGTTCAACCACCTTTCCACCTTTTCGTTTTCTTTTTCCTTCTCTTTTTTTATTTTTCTTTTTTCCCCATAATTTGTCTCTTTCTACTTTAACCAAATAACTTTCTTCCTCTTCTATCAAATAACTTGCAAAATTTCAGTTTCCTTCCGCTTGGGAAGTCTTCTTAGCTCCTGCAAATTTGCTATTTTTAGTAAATTTCCTTATCTTCAACTCATTATAAACTCACTAACATATCACATCTCTTCCAATATTCTCTATAGAAATTAAATTACAAAATGTCTTTTACAAAAACAAGCTGTATTTCTGGGATCTTGTTCTTGTTCTTAGCTCTTGCATATGAAGCTACGGTTCCAAGAAATGCTAATGCAGGGTTTATAGCAGTTAATGATGCTCAGAGGTACAAAGTCTCTGAGGTTCTTAAAGATGCATTTGTCGCTGGTATTTCTGTTTGTCGTACGTGGGCTTTCAGTGATGCACACTACCAGAAATTTGGCCTATCGCAACGCTAATAAAACTGTTGCAATACATAAGAAAACCGTTGCAATATCCCCATTGTAACGGTTCTCGGTAGTCCCACCGGCTCGCGTGCCATAGGTCTATTGTAACGGTTTCGTGCAACAGTTATACAACCGTCGCCATATGTCTTATTCAAGTGGAACGGTTCAAAACCATTGCAATAGCATTTTAAGCAACGACTATTTGTGTCTATTGCAACGGTTTGAATACATATCGCAACAGTTGTGTAGCTATTGCAATAGTTATTTAGTGCTGCGCAACGATTTTTTTAAGGTTATTGCAACAATTAATGAAATTTATGGAAACTGTATAATAAAGTAAGATGAATTGATTACCTATATAATCATCAAAGGAAACTAGTATTAATCAACAAAATTATATTCCAAAATATCCAACTATTATTATTCACATATAAAAGTAAAATATACAATATTGTTTAACTATTTAAGAGTTTACAGAAGCTTGAACAAAGTTTCAAATAAATAAAAGATTCATAGAACATGCAAGAGTCTAGCACCGATCAACCAAATCTTAAGTATCTTTACTGCTTTTATCTTCTGCTTGTTTATTTGATCAACCTACAAAAGATGATAACTAAATATTAGAAAAGCTTGAGCAAATATAACTGTACAATTATAGACTCAGATAACAACTAAAAAGAAAATGTGATATAACAAATATTAGAAATTGGGATAAAAGGTTCATTATATTGTAACTGTTATATTTACAAGAGCCAAACCACTCTATTGCAATTTTTGATGGACATAGAACCACTATACTTAGAGAAGCTCAAGTACAATGAGTTAACTAACTTTTTTATTGTTACTATCAATTAACTATTTGTTTTGTTGTTATTATCAGTTAACTATTAAGCCACTCATTGACCAAAGTCTTCAGAATAGTTCTTAAAATGACCTCAATCTCCAACTTAAGAAACAACCGAAGTACCAAGTTCTAGCTTATAAAAAGGGCATTACACCAGAAAGACTGACCAATTATGAAGCATAAAAAATAATAGATCAAAAGAGCTTAACATTTTTGGATGATAAAAGTAGGTGATAATGGATAAAAGTTTTGGCACAGGGTATATAAAGCTCACTAGCTTCTAAAACATAATGAATTCTACAAATTGTAGATGGGGAAGAACTGATTCTTGGTTTTGCACTCACTTGTTTAACTATCATTTTTAATTTAAAGACTTTAAGGTGTTGTTATACAAGAGAGGGAAAATGAACTATCTTTATTCATAAATTGGTAGTTCTCTCGTTGTGTATTCTATGCCAACGTCTCAAAAAACCTCTCCCACCACANATCATTTTTAATTTAAAGACTTTAAGGTGTTGTTATACAAGAGAGGGAAAATGAACTATCTTTATTCATAAATTGGTAGTTCTCTCGTTGTTTATTCTATGCCAACGTCTCAAAAAGACCTCTCCCACCACCCAGCTCTTGGGGTAATTGAGTATTTTGACAATTCTTTTATTTGTAAGAACATGAACTTTTACTGAGTAAAAAATTAATATTAAGGTGCAACTGTCATAAAAGCCCGTCAAATTAACTTTTGTGAGTGACAGTCTTTTGAAAAGTCTAACTCTTTCAATTGATTTTAGCATGCGACTTCTTAGAAATACTTCCCTCAGATTTTTCCCATGAAGTCCAAAGAGATTGTCCTATGAAAATGCAGTATTCCACTACAACTACTCATGAAGACATCATATATATGAATATAAATGTGCATATATCGAAAAGAGATGTTGAAAAGAACACACCATCACATATCAAAGTGGCAGCAAAAAATATTAAAGTTCTTACCTTATCAAAGGAAGAAGAGAACTATCACCATTACCAGCAGTTTTCAAGCAAGAGAATGTTGTAGCTACAAAAAATAAAAATAGCATTTACAATAATGCAAAAGAAAATTACAGCTATCTCTAACCCGAGTTTTGTCAAATCCCATTAACTGCAGCAAGGTGACAATCTTTCAGAGAAAATGAAGTTGACTTAATTACTAACAACACAAGTTCATTAAAAGATTTGCTTGAAGTGGGATTTCACATTACCATTTCCATACTTCTCTATATCTGAAGTGAAAATTTTAGTATTCTTAAATCCTACCATACCAGTCACCTTTTCATATATGTGTGCTTATGCAAAATATTGCCATACTAAATAATATACAATCCAACAGAAGAGATTAAAAAATGAAGAAGAACTGCCCAAGTAAGTCAAATATGGCATTAAGTAATAGTATAACTGAGAAACTAATGGAGGAGCCAAAGGAAAATGTCCCACCACTACCACAGATGACATATCCAGCTTATGACAATATGAACAACATGCCTTAGGTTTTTGTTGAAT